AAAGAAAGAGAGTGATAATGAAAATAATGAGTGTTACATGCTCAGGCATGCTATTGAGATGTTTGTAAAAAAATTGTAACAAAAATATTGAAACCATTGAGAGAAATAGTAAAAAATAAAATAGAAAAAATATATAAACATATAAGAGAAAAAGATGAAAAAGAAAAGAAAAAAATAAGTTACATCATGCCTAGTTGTCATTGCGCATCTTTGAACTTCAGAGGTCCGATCTGTTTGGTGAACATGTCTGCCAGTTGTTCTGCACCCAGTAACCATTTGAGTGCCACCTTCTTTTTAAAGAGCTGTTCATTAATGTAGTAGAATTCTTGATCAGTGTGTTTCATCCATTTGTTTGCAGCATTGTCAGTGGAAACATGGATGGAGGATTTGTTGTCTCCAAGGATTAGTGGTACTGGTATGTCCGGTAGGACATCTCAGACTAGGGAGTGTAGCCACACCACTTCCCTGCAAGCCAAGCCTATCACCATGAACTCCACATGGCAGGTGGAAGTGGCAACGCATCCCTGTCATCGCAAGGCCCATGAGATGGGTATTCCATACAGATGTGTAACATGACTGTAGGTGGATCTCACAAATTTGCTGCCCCAGTTTGCATTGACAAAGGTCTCCAATGGGTGCTGATGTTGTGAAGATCATGGATTGATCTCCAGCCCCATGTTTGCCATGTCCCTTATGTATTGGAGTAGGTGCTTAAGGGCCTTCCAGTGTTCTTCCTGCAGTGTCTTGGAGTATTGTGCAAGGTAGTTTACCAGGAAGGCTAGATATTGCTGCGTGCCCACAGCCAGGTAGCTAATCAAGTCCATGATGCTCAGGTATCAGTTGGAGTCAATTGGTGGGGCTGCAGTATCTGTTTTCAGGGTGAGGTTTGGTGGCAGCAGCATCATTGCTTGGCAATTCATTAGGAGGTCCGAGTTTTCCTTGATGATCTTATCCATCAGCTCCAGTTGCAAAAGGGTGAAGTGATGTGGGGTCTTCCTCTTTATAGTCACCCCCACTATGTGCTTTAACACTTTCTCCCACTTGATGTTGATGTGTGATCAGAGGGCATCCTCCACATCTTGCAGGAGGTTGTCGCAATTGCTGGCCACTGCTTCATCATCCATGTGGACCCAGATCATACACATCTTTCCATTTTGTCACAGTATGTAGAAGCTCAGATTGAACTGGCTGGGTATGAAACCTAGTGCCCTCAATTTCGCATCAATGAATTTCCACCAGTATCTAGCTCCCTGTTTGGTACCATACAGGGCCATCAGTAGTTTCATTCCTTTGCCAAGGTTGAAACTGGGCAGTGACTTAACCCAGATTTTGTGATTGAGTGGGCTGTGTAAGTAAGCCACTGTCACATCAAATCCTCAAACAGTTAGTCCCAAGTGTGCTGCTATGACATGGAGGACCCAAAGGGATGCAAATGTAGCTGTTGGTGCGAACATGTCTGTGAAGTCAATTCCATGTACCTGTGAGTATCCCTTCGCTACTAGGTGGGCCTTGAAGCATCAGTCCTGTTTAATCACAAAGACCCACTTGACATCCATCAGGTGTTGTCCCAGTGGTGGTGTATCGGCCACCCAGACCCCCATTGTCATGAATTGTTTGAGTTCCTCCATACATGTGTCAAGCCATCATTTCACCTCAGGTAGGTGCATTGCTTCAGTGAAGGTTTTTGGTATGATGTAACCATGTGCCAAGGTTTGTGTCATTGCCATGTCCATGATCCTGTCATGTTTCTGGACCATCTGTTCCACATCAAAGTTGCCCATTGTCATTGCATTCAGGATGTGTGTCAGATGGGCCTTGGAGAGGCTTGAGTCTGGTGGCAGTCTTGAATGTTGTTCCAGGTCTGAAGGTATAGGTGGCAGATCAGAGAGGAACTTGGCTAAGGAAGAGTCGATGGTCATGATCGCCTTCAACTCTGGGTCCCAGAAGGTCCAACCCTTCTTGTTGGGTGGGTATCCTACCATCAGCATTAGCTGGCCTTGTGGGTCAAGTTTCTGCCTGATCTCACATGGTGTGTGGACTATTGCTGCCTCACCAAATGTCCTGAGATAGTCAAGGGTAGGTTTCTGTTTGAAAAGGGCTTCAAAGGGCATCATTGTTCCTGTGATGGTATTTGGTTGTGCAGGTGAGCATATGCCCACATTTCCTCCCCAAAGCTGGCAGCATGGAGCATTGTCCTCCCCATGTTGGCCAGTGTTCTGTTCAACTGTTCAGCAGCCCCATTCTGGTGGTGTTTGTATCAGTTTGTCATATGGTTGATGATCCCTTGGGTGGCACACCAAGCATTCAGCTTACCTGATACATACTCCCCAGCACCATTGCTCCTCAGGATCTTTACTTTGAGCCCAGTGTAGTGCTCCATCTTCTCTACAAAGTGGTAGAAGGCAGTTGGTACAAGTTCCCTTTTGTCAACACAGTAGACCTTGGTATATGTTGTTGCTATGTCTTGGAAGGTGATTATGTATTTTGCCCCTGCTGCAGATGGTCGGAATGGTCCTGCTATGTTGCTGATGATCAGTTCCAATGGTTTCAGTGTCCAGCCCAAAGGTTGTAAGGTAATCATGCGAAGGCTCTTGCTCTTCAGGCAGTCAAGGCATGTAAACAGGGTGTTGTCAATCGCATCTGGTAGTCCTCCAGCTATTTGGTTCTTGACCATCTTTTGGATGGTTCTCATGCTCCTGTGGCTGAACCTACAGTGCCACTTGAGGGCTTCCATTGCTGCTTGAGGCATACCCACACTTGCTGCATCCATGTCAATCAGCTTTGGTGAGTGGTCCTTTTGTGGGCAAGGTGGGTCAAGTGTGGGGCTTGGTTTGGTAGGCTCAGAAGAGGTGGAAGAGGTGCAAATCAAGGGAATTTTCATTACAGGTACAACCCATCTCCTATCTTTGTACATTGTGCTAACAAATTTCCCACAAGTATGTATTGCAGATCAGTATTGGTGATCTGTCATCTGCTTGCAGGTGCATGGTTCCACAATGAGTGACATAAGTCTCAGGTCCCTTGGTTGCTACTGACACTGGTATCGGCCTGGGTAGTGCACGGACATTAGTGAGCCTGGATATGTCTCCTGTGACATTGTGGGTCACTCCTGTGTCACTTACTCCTTCATCCAGGTTGTCCCAGGCCTCCATGAGATTGCTTTTGGATGCCCATACACCTTCCGGTAACATGTCCTCCTTGGTGGCAGCATTGGAATCAGGTAAGACCTCCACTGTAAACTTGCTCTCATTTATGTCAACTAGATTTAAATGGAGTTGTCAATAGCCAAAGTTAGATGAGATCTGTTGGTTGTAGGGGCAAGCCCTTGCCCAGTGGCCTGTCTGTCTGTAGCAGAGGCAGTGGTCCAGATCTGTTACCCACAGCATCGGTTGTCTCTGGCTGGCTCCACTTACACTGCTTACTGGCGTAGGTTGGCAAGTGCCTATGTTCTGTCAATGGAGGGCACAAGGGTAGTTCGTCGGGGTCATCAGACTCCACATTGGGGGCTGATAACTTCCTCGCATCTGCGTCGCCGGTCCTTGGACAAAGGGTGGTCAATTTCCAGTGGGCATTACTTGGGTCGCATTGAGGTCGATGGCATTGAAACTTGCTAGGGTACCACTCCCTGGGTTCCCATGCTCCTGGTTTTTGGCCTGGATGGCCTCCTCGAC